GGGGGGGGGCTGAACACACCTCCGTGACTGCGGGGCCGCCCGACGGCAGTGGCGGGGCTGACGCACCGCGCCGCGACCGGGATCGGATCACCTTGCATTGTTTGTTACATGACAGTGTCTTGACAGCGGCCGGGCTACCTCACTGCAGCGATGTCGACTGCTTTATTGCGGGTCCGCCCGCATCACACAGTGACCTCCTCGTCCCGGGGGAGGGCTCGCTGGGACAGGGATCGGGCTCGCGGCGTCGGGGGAGAGGCTCAGAGCGTCCTCGGAGCCCTGCTGGAGGCCTTGAACAGTACGAGCAGCACCGAGAGGAAGAGGAAGTGGCCGGCCTCAGAGCAGGGGGCGAGCCGTAGCCGTGGCAGCGCACGGGCGGGGCGGGGACCTCGCACAGGCAGTACTCGTGGAAATGTACTCGCTAACGAGACGACAAGACGATGCCTCGACCGGGGAGAGGAAGAAAAGAATTGTACATAACGTAAAGAAGCGGATGGAAATGAGATGACGTCCCGAGGGGAAAACGGTTCGTCCGGTGCCTCGCTCGCTGTGGTCATAGCATAGTGCGGGTGGCTCTGCCGTTTGCTCCCGCAGCGGGCAGGCGATCCCCTGCAGGACCCGACCGACCCGGCGGCTCCGGCGGGGACGAGGTGACATCACATCGGCGGAGTTGTATGCTAAACGAGGCCCGCACCGCCTGCCCCGCCCGCCCCGCCCCGCTAGGCTCCACCCGCCCTGCTTACAGCGGCCGCGGCATGTGCGATAGCGCAGGTCGGGCGGGTTGTGACCTCCACGGCAGCCAGTTTGCCGCGGCGTCGCCCCCTCCCTCCCACATCCCTGCACCTTGGGTCGCTGCTGCAGATCGCCACCGCCACCTCCCGCCTCTCGTCGTTTATTTTATCCAGAGAGAGGGAATCAGCAGCAGCAAGCAGAGGCACTCTTCTTTTTTCGGAAAAGGTCAAACGGCTGTTAAAACGTGACGACAACAGGACGACGACGTAGCCGGCCGGTAGACAATCTGCAGAGAGAAACTGTTTTATTGTATCTCTGTGAAGGGGAAGGGGGTGGGGGGGGGGCATGTGCCTCGAAGTGCACCTCCGCACAGTGAAGATTGCCCCGGTGGTGGCAGTGGTGGTGACGAAAGAAGGAAGACATCCGCGCCCGCGCGCCGACCTGCCGTCCGGCCGCGACCCCCTCACGGTCACGCCCGTACACCAGCCTTCCTCCGGCTGGACATCGCTGCCGTCGTCATGGACGTGTCCGCGCTGCAGCTGGCGGTGCACCTGCTGCAGCTGTGGACAATGGGGCTGGTGGGCGGGG